GGGACGCGGCGATATATCTGGACGGAACCAAATCTTATGCAGCTTCTCGGAGAGGCGGTTACCTCTTATTTCGACGCAAATTGGTTGCACAAGCACCCTCCAGTAGTATAATGGTGGGAAACGGCGGCATTACCCTTTTAGGCTTGCGATCGTTGATTGAATGCCAGCCGACGTCGGACGAGGCGATTACGTGGCCCTCACCTCTTTCTTCCTCTTTCTTCCCACCCAACATCCATCGCGACACCCAATCCTTTCTCGCCCGCCATGAGTGTGATAGACGTTGACAACCTTCCGCTCGACGGGAGGATCCGGCATTTCATGTACCAATACGCCAAAGGTTCTCATTTTGTGATACCCCTCCAACCGTTCGAGCGCCAAGGCACATGGTCCGCGGTGCGGTGCCGCATGTCGAGGATTAGAAGTGGCCTGGAGGCCCCGGGTGTGTCTCTCGTTGTGTTTTCCTCTCTCTCTGTTTCTGACCTTCGAGCCAGGAGAGGGTGTTTTCGCGTTTGCCTTCTCGCATGCATTGGTCAACGTCTGTGCCGGGTTTGACAATGGGATCGTTGGCAATCTTCATGGGGTACGCTTCTTTGCCTTCTTTCACGCGCGTAACGCTCATGCCTCCTCCCCAAGCTTCTCAAAGGTATCATTCTGGAGAAGGGGGTGATGAAGGCCATTTTGAGCAAGATACGCTATGCGGGAATCGACATCGTCATCCCTAAGGACTGTTTGAATGCCAAGAAACCCTTCTTCCAGCTGCTCGGCGCGTTGTGGTTCGATGCCGACGGCACCCACAAGCTTCTTCCTTGGTTGATCGAGCTGCTTCCCCCGCTCATCGAAGAGGGCATGCGGGTGAGGGCCGAGTACTACGAGTCAAGGGGTACAGAGTGAGTTTCAATGCATCCCGTCTTGACTGGCCATTGCTCACCGTCTTTCCAGGCCGGAGAAGGAGGACAGAACACAACTCACCCAGGGTTTGTCCAATCACGCCGAGCTCTCCATCCCTAGACTCTCACTACCACCGTTTCTCAGATATGATGTTCTTCAACGCACTTTACGATATGTACGAGAAGGCCCAACCAGTAGGCCCGCAGAACGCAACGGCCGTCGTCCCCGCCAAGACCGACGATGGCGTTTCGATGTCAAGTCTTGAGGAGGCTCTCAACGCAGACGGTGGCTTATTGGCTGACTGCGTGTCTGAAACCGACTCGGATGTGCGTTTCCCCATCCAATACTATCCGATGCCAACGCCTGACGCATGTACACAGATGGAGGACGTTTCGGTGTCGGGGCTCGAGGTAAGCCGTCTTTTCGCTCACGACTCTCATGCTCATCTGGTCTTTGCAGACCGACGAGACTAGTTCTGTTGCGTCGACGGTACAGACAGCGTACACGCTACCTTTATCTGCATTGGTATGTCGTCTTTTCGCACCCGAGTTTCACACTCATGTGGGTTTTTTAGGCTGAATGGGAGACCGCCTCCGTGTCCTCGTCGACTGTGGAGCAGTTTCTCGAAAGCTGCCGACTCACCAGCGCTACCCCCGCTGGCGAGCAAAGGGTCAAGAAGATGAGGGAGGCGGAGGACGATGGTTGTCTTGCGGACGTATCCAACGCCGAGGTATGTCCAAACACTTTCTTCATCTTTGGTCACACTAACCTGGCCACAGACCGACGACGACGACGATGCCACTGCCACCGCCACTGCCACCCCTACCCGCCCTCGCTCTAAAGCAGTACGTTGCCAACAGTTGCCTACGTTCTCACTTCCTCACCTCCTTCAAGGATTCTCCTTTCCCCACCGCCAACGCATCCCTTTCTCCCTTGCGCGCTCCTTTGACCGCACGGAACCTGTATCTTCTAGGTGTGCTCGTCTCTTTTGAATAGCAGCTTCCTGCACACTCACTTCGTCTCCAGAGGAGCCGCCGCCGCTTCGCAAGGACTGCCCCCCCAGCGTCAAATCGGATTTCTTCATGAAGGCTTTCGGGCCTCTTGAGGAAGGTTTCACACTTTGCACCGAGGAGGAGGCTTACGGTGTGCGTGCCTTCTTCTTTCGGCTGTATACACGGGACTCAGACGTTTTTACAGCTGCCCAGTGCATCCACCGCAATTCCCGGTATGGCTTCCTCGTATCCTTCCGTCCGATGCACGCACTCACTGTTGAGCAGGTCTGGAGCCAGCGGCGGAAATTTCAGAGGATGATCAAGCATTGTCGCCACCCCGCTTCACCAAGAAACGCCGAGTCTCCCCGAATGACTCCAAGTCTGCCTACAGCCGCGGGTCGTCGGTCTCTTACCAGGCCACACCGCCGCGTCCGAGATGGTGATGGTTCTTCCTCTCCTTTCCTCCTCATCCCCTCCTTCATCCTCCCCTGCACCCTTGGCCATGGCGCCTCTCCCATACGACCTCTTTTTTCATTCTTATACTATACCACCATACGAAACGATACCATCACATATACATCCAGAAACTGCATCGTGTACCACCTCCCCTCCAATTCCTTATCCAAGACGATTTGTAGAGCATCAATAGTTAGATTTGTACTACCCACCAAATAGAATGTAGCGCCTTTTCCATTCTCTTGACCTTGGGCAGCCCGAATGCCGTGCTACATAGTAGGTGATCGCATAGCTAATATTAGCCTGCCTTCCATTGTCCTGTTCTTCCAATCCGAATCGGCTCCGGGGCAGACTCAGATCATCTCAGTCAAGAAAAATATGTCTTGAAGATTGCTTGAAGTTTGTGGTTACGGACGTTGCTTGGCCGGCTCTGTCTCTGGAGTCCAAGGTCTCAATGAGCACCTGAAGATACAGTCAACATTATTCAATAAAGTTGATCATTGAATGAATCTGCGACGTGCTTGTCGATCCCCCGCATTTTGATCATCTTCCCCATACCACTTGTACGGACGCGTCTCGACGCGTCAGTTCACGTTGTCCGTAATCCCATCCCGTCCACGGTGCGGAACAAAGGGAAATTGACGCGTTTGAGCACTCGCGCTGCCAGTGGTCTTGACGATGAGAATAAAGGTTTGAAGGAATAAATTCATCTTCTATTGTTGGATTGTGCATACATGACAAAGGATTGGATACAAGCTGACCAGGGAGGAGAGGCGTGATACTTGTACAGAGAGTCCAGGCGTGGATACAGAATCATCCAAGGTGAAAATACAGTCCGAGAAAGGTGGGTCCGATTCAGAAGACTCGATAATGTAGGGCGTCTAATTCTAGAATGGGAGCATTGTCACGGAAGGATGGGAAGGAAAAGAGACATACATGGCTGGATGAGTGTAAATAGTTTTGTAGTTCTCGGAAGCCATGCATGAGAAGCTATCGAAATGGTCAGATACGAGGAGTTGAGCCCAGAATTAGCTAGCCGAGTCGACAAGAGAACGAGGCGTACCTCGAGACAATTCAACCTCGTTCACTGTCCTCCGCGTCCGTCGAATCTGGGCTAACGTCCCGTCCGGAAGCCTTGGCCAGAGCCTTGAACCATTTGCGCAGGAATGGTTAGGCGAAGTGGAATTTGGGAAGGGAAGGAAAAATGTACTTTGGACGGTGGCAAGGCGAGCCTCCTCCTTCAGCATCTCAGCATCGGGACTACTTACAATGAGGTCAGGACTCAGCAACGGGCACGACAGAGGTCGGACGCTAACTGACTGTTCATTCCAGGCCACAAGGCCTACTTTAATGATGGGCGGTGAATAGCGCGGCAACAAAGGGTACATGGGTCATGGCCAAGTCATGGCCGCCGTGTTCGTCGGAGAGGGCACCGAGACAAGCGTGGAACGCGTCGTGTTACAGCTTCTCGTCTTTGTGTAAGCCCGTACGGTAATTTTGCAGTTATCGAGGTCCTGCAGACGCAACTGCACGCCGTCAGAGTATTTTCGGAGGTAATCATGGTCTTCTTGCGGCTTCGGATCGGTGAAACACTCGAACCAACGGGTGGCCGGCACCAGGAGAGAATGATCCTCCACGACGGCGCGGACGGAGTGGCGGGTTCTACGGTGGCGTCGGCCTTCTGAACAACCCATGGTGGAATGGATGAGAGGTTAACTTTGTGGGCGTAGTATGTGCGTCCGCGGTTTTGAAAGGCATGGATGGACATTGGACACGTTTGAGCATAGAGGTTTCAACAGCTGTGGACTGGGAGTGGGCGATGTAGGCGATTTTGCTTGGTCCGACCAGTTCATTCATAAGAGGTTAATGAAGGCGATGTTCAGCGTGCGGTTTTGAAAGGCATGGATGGACATTGGACACGTTTGAGCATAGAGGTTTCAACAGCTGTGGACTGGGAGTGGGCGATGTAGGCGATTTTGCTTGGTCCGACCAGTTCATTCATAAGAGGTTAATGAAGGCGATGTTCAGCGTGCATCAGCCTTTTGACAGTTTACTTGGCACTTTATGGCACTTTTCCGCTTGCCACGAGCTCGGCAAAAGTGAAAAGTGGCAAAGTCCACATTCCAGCTCCCTCAAACATAGGCTTGGACAGACCATGTAGCTATCTGAATGAAATATGAGTTGAAATGTCACAGAATATCAAAATGTGCGGGAGGTTCCGGCAAGGAGAGAGCCGCAACAGCGGCATCAATTCCGTGTTGCCGGGGACTTTTTCGGAAATCACACCTGGCTTTTCACTTGTCGACTTTAGCACTTTTCGGCACTTTTCCGGCTATTTTTTGGCGTGGAAAAGTGTCAAAAGTAAATTGCAGGAAGTCTGATGTGGCGAGATCCAGGAAGCTGTCCGGTACATTTTCACAGAGAGATTGCAAGCATTTCCGACCGAATGGAAAGGAAGCAAAGCAGTCGGAGATGGTGGTCGTCCAGGAAGAAGTTTTTGTGCCGAGTTTGCCGAGTCGCGGCAGTATGATCTAGTACTGACTGATGTAAGAGTTCCAACACGTTTGTGGGCTCGCCCAGAGGGCACTTTGTGTGCTTCTTGAGGTTTTTGAGTATTCTGAGGTACAAAAAACACAGCCCACTGGAGCCCAAGCAAAAGGATACTGATTGGAGTGGGATTCGAACCCACGCCCTTTCGGACCAGATGCCTCTTGAGAGACAATGTTGCTTCAAAGGAAGCTGATCCTTAGTCTGGCGCCTTAGACCGCTCGGCCATCCAACCTGGGCATAGGGGGTTGAACCGGTGAAAACACCACCTCCTTTAGAACCATGAAGTTGAACCTCGACTTAGCGCGCTCAAAATCACTGTTTTATTGCCAGCATGGAGCTCGGATACTAGAAAGCAAGTTGAACAATCCTCTCAACTCCTCGGCGGCTGATGATACGAGAAAATCGCCATCGTCACCACACAAACCGTAATACTCCACACAAACCCACCAATCCAAGGACCCCCTTCTGCATATCGAAGACCCGTACCCGTCTTGAAAATTGGCACCCAACCATTCTGAGCAAGCGACAATCCACTGGTTTGACACCAGCAGTTTTGAAACGCGCCAATGTCCTCGAGGACGGTGGACGCAATGATCCAAAAGGCGTTGCATATCGCCAGTCCTTTGCCGGAAAGCCGGCAGACGACTGCGAGGGCGCCGAGTAGAGGTGAGATGGGTTTTTCGGGGTCTTGCTCGAAGCGGTGCATATACGCGTGCGAAGCGAGGTTGGCCAAGACCAGGAGGATCCACGACACGGTTGCTGCGGCGCCGTACAGGAGGTAACTGCCTGAACGACAACCGAGGCCGATCGGGGGTATTCGGTAAGCTGCATAGATCGCTGCGCCTGTGATGCCCCACTGTAGGAAGCAAGCAATCAGGGCAGCACCGAGGATGTGGTGGATTGTCGTCGTGGAGATGTCCTTCCGCCCTTCGAACGCCACGAGGTCTTGTTGGGGCTCGAGGTCGCAAATTGCGGCCGCGTCTTCGGGGGTCAACGGGATCGACGCGTGGTGTTGGAATTTGCTGATCGCCGAGTGGAAGCCACCATGCACATGCTTGGTAAACGCAAACCAGGTGAAAATACGGGCGTAGTTGAAAATGGGTCCCTCCCTCCTTTCGTCACCTCGAATATCGAAGCCGAACCAGGTGGGTGGGGAAGCAGGCTCCGAATGGCAAATGGTGTGTTGTGATTTTTCTGAATCAGCGGCGACTGTTGAGATTTGACTGGTCGATGCGAGGAGGTTGAGTTCAAGGCAAGGACGATGACGTGCCAGAGGCAAGTACAAATCCGCATCCGGAAACAAGCCTGTTTGGTGCCCGAAATCGTCTGGGTCGACCCTGGCGTCGGTCAAAGCCTCTTTGATACACACAGCGTTGTCTTGTGTTCCGACTTGGATATATCTTCAAGCGGATGAATATTGAAAAACGGTGTCAGACGAGAACATACCCATAGAGGACAGGGAACCTGAGAAATCCAGAGTAAAAATTATTCCACGAAGCGAGAAGCACACATGACATACATCCAAGTCCACACCATACTGGACACAAATTGAGGACAGACTTGAGGGCTACCAAATGAATCGTGGAAAGCGGCGATGAAAGAGAGCAAATAGGACAAGGCCGCCATGAGAACTAGGAAAACATCAGTTCAATGCAAACAACGAGAGAGGAATCCTTTTCACCTTGTGCGAGAAACGAGTACGTGAAACCCCGACGAGTGTTCTTGAGATCCTTGTGAGCAACCTTCCAGAAAATATTGCGATCCAGGTCGTTGATGGTGAGGAGACTGGCGAATTCTCCGTCCCGCTGATTAGCCCGCATAGGACACTGCTGGACTTCGACGACGATAAAGGCAGCCTTGTCCAGCCTCTCGATCATCCATCCGTACACAGCTTGCCGTGTATTCCGTTGCACCTTGTCCTTGAGCCCTCGAAACTTGCGAAAAGCATATCGTCGATTGAAAGCGGTAAGAGCGAGAGAGTAGGTGGCCAAGGCAGGGCTCCCGACGGCAAGACAGCCGCTGAGGAGGTTCATCCAACCTGTGGCTTCGAAGGGCAGCTGGGCGATAAGGGCCAGCCATGGCAATAGCCACGTGGTCATGGTAATCGCGGAGGTGGTAAAATCGATGCTCTGAGGCCTGTCAAGCAGAGAAATCACTTCAAAGCGAATACCCACCTGGCGCATTGTACCACAGGAAGCATAGCAAACTTGGGCTGAGATACCCCACACCTCGCTCGGTATCTGGGAGACATCTGCAGAACAAACGGGAACCATGGGGTGGCCCCAGAGATCGACGAGACCAAAGGAAGTGCAGTTGAACTTTGCCGCACAGGCGGTGTCCCAGTTTGGCACGAACGTGGTACTGAGGGAGTTACCCATGACTTTGGAGGTGGGTGGGGTCGGATTGGGCTGGATACAAATGAAGGTGAGTGACGTGCTTGTTAAGTATTGTTACACTCACTGCCTTGCAATAGGATGGACTCTCTATCTCCCTCCGACTCGCTCGCTACAGCTTTGGGCGCTTCCAGTATCTCGGCAGTAGTGCCTTGGGTCAGAACTGTGTTTGCGTAATGTTACGGCCCAGGCGGGACGGTTGAGGTTACTGGCAGATTGACTGTCGCCTAGATCTGTTATCACGAAGTGCTGTTTTGGAGTCTGGACTCCATTTTCAATCCGGTGATGAGTTGCAAAGCTTCCAGTTGAGTACAGACAGTAGCAGATGCCGCCTAAAAGACCGTGAAATGCCTTTCTCCGTCTTGAGTCTTGTATGGTGATTGGATCACAAAATCCGAAGGCGGCAGGACTTGCTGACAAAGTTGTTCCTAGTTGTTCTCACCCAAAATTACAGTGGGTGATACAGAACAAATACAGAATCTAGCCGGGCGTCCATCTGTCGTTCCTGGAATCGAACCTCGACCATAATTTATCATGTATGACTGCGGAGATCCGTTCCCCGCCTCGGCCGACAACAGAATAGGTTTCGTCCCAATTTCGTCGCGATTATGGCTGTGGGAGGCGCCCGAGTTCTGACTCGACAAGTACAAGTGTGAAGTCTGTGGTAATTGGGAGAGATGTCGAGCGGGAGCGCCAGCTGCTGGACTCGGAGAAGCAGGCGGTACCAGTGAGCCATAGACGGCGTGGATTGAGATACTGGCCCAAAGCCGAGGGGCACAGACTGAACAAGCAGGGTTTCGAAAAACACGCAAGGGGAGATCGAGCCCTGGTGAAAGGGCCAGGTGACTTGTGTTGACGGTGTGAATCAAAGAGCGCATCAAGGCCAGCGCAGCCACATCACAGTCCCGCTTATCACGAGATTCTTGCTCTTGTCTCGACTCTGATTCCGACTCTTTAGTATTTACCCTCCGACGTCCGTGTCCGTGTCCCATTCCAATCCCTCTCGGCGTGTTTCCCTCTTGCCCACTGTTTCATTTTATTGTTATTTCCACTGATTGGCTCCATCCACAGTCCCCCGCAGTGCGGCTCTTTCGGCCTCGATTTCCTTCCTCAAACCATTTATCAGGACAAGGCGGTGAATTTTTCGATCCAATTTCTCTGGATGCTAGTCGTTGCTCGTTTCTCGTTCAAAGAAAACAACGAAAGAAAAACAACCAGTGGGGGTTGAGAACGTGGACTGCTAGCAAGACTATCCCAACCCCCGGAGACAAGCCAGCCGAAGGCCCCGCCGGTGTAACAGATATCCTTTCTTCCCGCGACATTCGAACGCTTGGCCAAAATCTCGACGCTCCGAGTCGATCAAACCGTTGAGTTAAGGAACCGGTTATTAGGATTGTGATGAACTTCATTTTATGGCGCTCTTTCTGTGGCTGGAAACACCAAGGAAACCTTGAATTTTGGGCAGCACGACTTGGAAGGTGGACGGAACAAGTGAGCAGGAACCTGCCCCATTGGGTTTGCGATTTCTGATCTATACTTACGTGATGACAATTGAAGAAGCGCGTGTTGGCACGGAGCACGAGAGCGAACCATCTTCGGTGCGTCTGAATCTCGGGTCATACCTACGCCTTCTCTCGATGTTGCTCACATTGTATTTAGTTTGTGGCGGCCGTTCTATGGCACCATTGAACAATTCCGCCGCATCTGGCTCGCTCCAGAACTCCTCCTTCAAGTTCTGCCTGTGAACTAATAATTGTCCCGAAGGCGGCCTCTACACTGTCCCAAGTCCATTCGGCTCGTACGCCAACTTCAACTGTGCGCACACCCCGGGTTGATCGTGATGGCACGCACCGTCAACGCCCTCCGAGTCATCATCCAATGCTCACCGACACTGCGCCAACTTCTAGACCTTGCCTTTATTCTTTATGCATGGATTTGTACATTCCAGATGTGTTCAAGTAGTGTAGCATACTGTATCCCAAATTCTCTTTGTATTGCGCACAGATCAGGAAATTTCGGTTTCGAGTTCAATTTCGCGAGCGAGGTTTGCCTTCGTGACGAGAAGCCTTGGTCGATTCAACCAAAATTTCCAACCACAAGTACTAGTTTACATAATTATCTGATGACTCCACACCTGTAGGGTGTTGACATACCGCCTCGTGAACGCACCAGCATACTCTTTGACTGAGCTACTTATTTATTCTATATCCGAGTCTGTACTTACCCATGGTGTGCAATTGTTACCTCACTCGACATGATACACTAGAGCCGAGTCGAATGGACCTCCAGACGGCGCACGCACGCAGAACCGAATGTGTCTTGAACGCGCAGAAGAACCGTCGATACAAGTAGTAACAAGTATCTAGCTCGTCGCACCCAATTACCGTTAATCAAAATGTAAGCAATCAGCAACTACGAGCTCTGCGTCGGTATAGGCCCGCCTCTCCCACGGAACCCTCCCCGTCCTCCCCGACCAGCAGCACCCCTACCCCGATCCGAAAACCCACGATCCGCCGCCACCGGAGCAAAGCCCCTACCAGTGCCACGGAAAGCAGGCGACGGTACAAAGTCCGTAGACATCCCTCTACCACGAACAAAGTCCGGCGCTACACCTCTGCCCCGGAAAGCTGGACCACCACCACCAAAGTCTCCGCCTCCTCCTCTCCCACGTACAAACGCCCCGCGTCCTCCTCGGGGAACAAAATTCGGGTTAGGACCAGCGCGGAAGCGCCCGCCGGTTACAGGACCATCAACCGGAGCTTGAGCGTCTGGAACGGATGCTACCGTCGCCGTAAGAGGAACGACTGGTGCTGGTGGTGGCTGCATGAAGCCACCACGG